TAAATATCCTTTCATGACTCAGATGGGTTCTGACTTTCATATTCCACCCACAATATCTTTTCTTCAGTTATAAAATTATTTATAATTTATCTCCTTTATTCCATGAAGAGAAGTCAAGTGTGATAAATAGAGTAGAGAGCTGGCCTCAAAATCAGGAAGGCCTGCATTCAAGGCCTGCCTCATAGACACAAATTGTATGACTGTGGGTAAGTCACTTACATTCTCAGTGGCCCCAGATAACTCTCTAAGATTATAATTTGTAAAATAATTTCCAGTCTACATTGGTAGAAGGAGTTTCTTCAATAGGCATTCCTTATACCAAAAAACAAAACAAAACAAAACAAACCCAAACCCAAAAATCACACGTGCAAAACAAATCAAAAAAATTATTCCATGACTAACTTTTATAAACCTACACAGATTCCTTTTTAATGTCTTGTCTCAAACATAAGAACTCTTTTATGCAACTACAGACCACAAGAGTTCTTCTAGTTAGTGAAACATTTTGGTGATTTGTTTCTATTAAATTTTACCATAACTATAAATGGCATGAATGAACTAATTTTTTTTCCATAACAACTCAACAAATTCTGGCATTACAGTTAAATTCTCCTCCCTTTGTCCCTAATATAAGTACCTGGAAAAAGTCATACACTACTTGAAAATAAACACTTACTCACTTTTAGACAGGATGTACTTGCCATGATTAACAAACTAAATTAGAAGGATGGATGGCCATAAGCCTACAAAATAACCAAATGTCATTACCTTATAGCCATAATATATATCTCTCTCATGCTTATTCATCTAATTTTTATGGAAAACTTCTCCAATCTATTTTTAAAATTTCCAATCTTTTGGATTCTCCTCCAGCTTTAATCTCTAACTAATTTGTGAGTCAGTGAGGGGTGGGGGAAGGAGGAATGAGTTATGATGTACTTGGGGGAGTGGGTGGAGAGGGAAAGAGTTCAACCTCTCATTTATTTCCACAGTTTGACTCCTTAGAATATAATCAGTCAACAAGCAGGTATCAAGCACTTATGTGCCACACACTGCCCTAAGGGCTACAGACACAAAAACGAAAGGAAACAGGACCTACCCCCAAAGACCTTATTTTTAATGTAACTTTTATTTTACTTTTCCCCCCTAATTAACAAGTATTTCTTAAATCTTCTCACTTCTCCTCTCATTGGAAAATAAAAACAAAATTCTTGTAACAAACATGGACAGTCTCAGCAAAACAAATTCTTACACAGACCATGCTGAAAGAATGTATGGCTCATTCTGTATCCACTGAGTGCCTCATCTTTTTCTCCAGAGATAGGCAGCCTGCTTCATCATCAGTACTTTGGAAATGTGGTTGGGCAATGTGCTGATCAGAGTGTTTAAATCTTTCAAAGTTGTTTGCCTTTACAATGTTGCTGTTATTGTATGAATTGTTCTTCTGGTCGGACCCTACATTCTAACAAGTGAGACAATATGTACATACTTAAAAGTATACAAAATAGATATAACTTAACCTTACTAGGAGACCTAGAGGGACTTAGAAAGTTTCATAGAGGAGGCAGCTGATCTAAGCTAAAATATAAGATCCCTAAGTGCAAGAACTGTTTTGCTTTCATCTGTGTCCCCTGTCAAGTAGTAGAACACCTGGGACATAGTGGTGTTTAATAAATTCTTGTTGACTGACTGGGTGCCATGTTTAAGGAACAGCCAGAAGACCCTTGTGGCTGGACTGTAGAGTATGGGAAGGGAAATAGTGTTGACGAAGGCTGAAAAGATAGGAGGAGACCAGGTTGTTCCAGGGATTTGAATGCCAAATGGTGGAATTTACACATGTTCATAGAGACAGGAAGGAGCTGCTGGAGTTTGCTGAGTAAGGGGGAGACCTAGATAAACCTTTGCTTTCTGAAAACTGGTCCCTTGAAGGCCCACTGTTCTTTCCTGATACCTACCAATATATAGTTCCCCATTTTTTCAGCTTCACGTTCTAACTCTCCTTGTCAACTGCCAGCTGTGGCCATTTTCCTGTGGCAGCCCAAGCCAAGCAAGCCCCATCCTCCCCAAATGAAACTCCTTGAGATTTTATTACATTTCCTCACCATGATCGGCTCCATCCTAGCAAAGAGGTCCACTGAACTTCTCTGCTGCTCTGCAGCAACAGGCATGTATGGGGCCTTCCAAGAAGGAGCCTTACTTTATCCCCTCCCTTCCTAGCCCATCCTAGGATTCTCACTGGTCAGTACTTTCCAGCTTGCCCACCTTGGCTCATGAAGCTCCTTCTCCTGCACTGGGGTGAACTCCTGGATCACCACTTTTTAGGATTTCATTACTCTTTATCTGTGAAGGGCAGAACAAGAAGAAATCCACTTGATTTAGGTGCTCCCAGGCTAGAAGACCAGTGCGTTTGTCACCTCTGTCTGCACAGCTTTTATTGGTTGGGCTACAGCCAAGGCAAAGGTAAGGATTACAACTATTTCCAGTATTCTGTTTTATGTTCTGCATGTATCAAAGTCATTCTTCTAAGTGTTTTCTTTTTGGTAGTTTTTTTTTTCAGTCAAAACAATTTATAATCAAGGCATTATTTAGTTTGGCTTCTGGAGGAATGCTTCAGTTTGAAACAAAAGCCATAATGAGCCTCTTGGCTTTTATTTTGTTTTCAATCGTACAGCTCAGGGGAGTGGGGGGCTGATATAACTTCATCTACTCATCTCTCCTCTACTTCAATGAGCCATTTCTGCAGGAAAACAATCTCCCCTTGAAAGACAACACTTGGCTCAGTAAAACTAAAATTCCAGACTACCTTCCAGAAATAAAATTCTGGTTAATATAGATGCAAAAAAGCCCAGAAAGTTTTCTTTAAACAGTGTATAAGAAAGCACTTTCATTCTGTGGGATTTATCACAGCTGAATCATTTCCTTTACAACAAAAAGAAAAGCTCACACCTCAGAGCAGGGCAACAAGCATTTCCCTGTAAATATTTAAAAGAATGGTTCCAAAATAATCCCATTTGAACAATATTTTCACTCAGCCTAACCTCTTAAACCAAGGTAGAGGTTATGAATATCTACTTATACCCAATACATTACTGGATACTTTATGGTAAAAAATTATGCCCTTAAAATTCGTGTGACAGAATTAATAAGTATCTATGTGTATATATTTATATATGTATATAAAATTTAATTTTGTTTTCATTATGGTAAAATCCTTGGTTTGGCATTTTCCAAATCTAGAGTCTAAAAAAGGACTACTTAACTTTATGTTGTGGCCCTCTTTGGCAGTCTGGTGAAGCCACAGGACCCTTTCTCAGAATCATGTTTTAAAATAATTGAAAGAAATTCTGACTTTCAGGTAGAGGTCAGTGGAAAAAAAGATGTAATTGTTTTTCCCATCCAAGTTCACAGACCCCATGAAATGTGTCCATGGAACCCAAGGGTTAAGGATTTCTGGCGTAAAAGCTCAAACCTATTAATTTTGATATTTAAATTTACTAATTCAACTTAATTGTTAGTAATGATTAATAAAATAATCTTTAAATCCAAATATTTTATATGAGAGAAAAATATAAATAAATCTCCAAGGCCATTTTCTGTAAAGATATCATTTTCTCTACAACCTATCCTTGGAAATATCCTAGGTTAAAAACACTGGTTTTAATGACTTTAGTAAAAACAAATTCATAATTATTTCTCACACATAGCTTTCTTGAGGTCTCAACTCTCCTTTTCTTAATTGAAAAAATATAAGATATATTAAAGAATTTCTTCCTAGCTTTACAGCAAATCAAGAGTCTCACAATCATATTACCTCAAATATGTGCCCCCAAAGGAAAAGAAACCAAATCTGGGATGACCTAAAGAATAACCCTTCCTAGCATCTAGAAGCTGCTTCTCCCAAGCTGTTCTAGAATGTCAAACATGGCAGCCTCCTCCAAAAAGGGTCTTGCAAAGACTGAGAGCCAACTCACTGGAGTTCAGTATCCAGTTTCTGCTTTAAGGCAATGGGAAAGTTTCCATTTCTTCGTGCTGTCATTTCTTTATTAAAACCAAGGACATTGATAATAAATACCATCATCAGTGCAATAACTTATATGAAGGGTACTCCACTTAAGGTAGCAATAGGGTTTTACATTCTTTTACAACTCTTATTTTGTATTCTTGATTTTTGTGGTTTTTTTGTATTTAGTGTATGTATTGCAGATTTTTGTGGATTTTCTATTTTGTGCATTTTTGTGTTGTCTTCTCCAATAATATGGGAGGAAAATCAAAATTCCACAGTATTTAACACAGAGTCCAGTGAATTAGTGCTTAAAAAGAATAGCTGGTGCCCAAAAGACCAACCACATAAGTGCCATCCTAATACATACATACATACATACATACATACATACATATATATATATACATACATATAATATATATATACGTATGTATTCCATGTATATAAAGCACCTGTCTTTACCTTGCGCACAGAATGAACCTTTGTACTATGTTAATTAAACAAAGTCCCTGACCTCTGCAAGTTTAGAAGAGACAACACTGATGCAGACTTTTTTATAATTTTTCAAAATGATGCATTAACATTGTGTAGAAGCAGAAAGGTGAGCGCGTACTGTGAGATGTGGTGTAAAAGAAAAGGTGGGAATTGTACACACAGAGGGAATTTACTATGCCTCTCTGGAAACTGATCAGGGAAAGCTTCATGAATAACAGTTTGAACAAAGAGAATGATTTTGGTGAACCTAGAGGGAGAGCATTCCAAGCACAAGGTACAGCCTGAGAAAATATTCAGAGACAGAAATGTATCTCCAAAGTGGATCACATTTTTCTGAGAGCAGAGGAAGGAATCTATTGGGGAAGTATGAAAACAGTGAGAATAAAGCAGTCTGGGATCACAGAAACCAAATAAAACTCTTAAATCCATTCCTAAAGCTAAGTCTTTATGTCATACCTACAAAAAATTGCCAAAATGATAAAAAAGGGGTGCTTTTATAAACCTGGTTGTTTTGAAGTCTCTCAGAGCTGTGGAGATATATTCGGATAAATGTTTTTCCATGAGTGCTACTCTGATCCAGGCTCTTCCCTGAAAGGAGGAAGAAACAAAATCAATACTTAATAATAATAGCAACAAGAAGTATAAAAAAAAGTCATCTGTGTACCATGCCTTCAAAAAGCAAATAAAATGATATACAAGCTGTACCAAAAGTCTTAGTGCAGTTGAAAACTTTTAAAGTACAAAACTGCAATAAATCTTTAGGGACAGGAGATATGTCTAGGCAATCTGCTGTTTACAATGTATTTGGATGTGGATTTTAAACTTATATATTTTTAACCAGATGCTTTAATACTTTGGTACTAAATCAGAGAAAATATTTAAATATGTAGGAGTTATTTACCTGCATCCTGTTTTCAATGAAAGCATATTCTCCATAGCATACCAACAGAATCATTATTTTCTCTCTGAGGATCAGGGTGATATAATGGAAAGGTATTTCTGATTTAGAGCCCAAAGACCTTAATTTAAACAGTCAAAGTCTGCTGTAACTTGGGCAATCCTTGGGTGTTTTTTTGTTTTGTTTTTAATGCATAAGATGAGAAAGATGAATCAGATAGCCTCTATGGTGCCTCAAAGCAGTGTTATGATTGAAATCCCCATTTTCCCAGAGGTATCCCAAGGAACACAAGAGGGAAATTCCAAACTAGATCCCCAACAAAAAGCCACCACATTGCCCTAATGGTGGGAAACAAAGAATTTGTTTGTGTATTTGAACCAAGAGAAAAGCTATGAAATAAACAGGTAATAGTATTACCTAGAATCAAAGTCTACTTTTGTCTTCTCTCTTTTTCTTTCCTTACTCTGTGTGTGTGTGTGTGTGTGTGTGTGTGTGTGTGTGTGTGTAGGGAGAGGTTAAGGGTCTAGGGAGGGCAGGATATAAGGAAGCTATTGATGAGCTTAGTATTTATTTCTATTACCATAAAGATCTAACACCTTTTATTAGAAAGAGGTCCAAAGGGGTGAAAATCATTTGGAGCACAGTAAAGGACTCTGTAACTTAATTAGGCTGACAAGAGGCAACATAATGTCTTGAAAGCGCATGTGACTGGGATTTGGAAAACCTGGGTTTAAATCCAAGTCACAAATAACAAATCCAAAATGACATTTTCTATGTGACCGTGGACAAGATACTTTACCTAACTAGACCTTATCATTTGCAAAATTAAGAAGTCATATGATTATAGGGTCATAGATCCCCTCCCTCATTTGACAGATGAGGGAACTAAGGATATACTAGCTAACCTCTGGCTTTGACATGCTATGATTCTATAACTTTGAAACCAAACTAGCAAAGTAACTAGTACTCAGTTTGCTCAAATATTTCCAGGTCCTAAACTTCTAAATATCCATATCACAGCAGCATCATCTTCCTTATGACTTACCCACATTTTCTCTTCCATACCCAGGTCTGAAACTAATTCAATAGAATTCAAAAGTTTATTAAGCTTCCACTATATCCAGACCATGTTGCTATCACTACAAAGGCTTTCTTATTCTTTTTTTGAAGGTCTTAATCCCTAAACTTAAAAGGAGACAATCCAGCAGGAGAATGAGCATTTATTCAAATATTTAAAAAAAATTAGAATAAGATTCATCCATAGGAGAGGTAAAACTAAGAGGAATTAAATATTCAGAGAAGGAATGATTATTTATAGCAGCTGATCTGGGCCTTGGAGAAGAATTTCAAGAGGTAGAGATGGAGACTAAGTCCATTCTGAGCAAGAGGGACATAGAGGGAAGAGAAGAAATGATGAAGTCAGGGTTTGTCTGATACAGTCTGTCAAGGAGAAGAGAGTTAAATAATGCTGAAAAAGGTAGGGTGGAGATGGACTAAAGGGGGGCTTTGGCTGCCAATAAAAGAGTTTGTATTTTATTCAGCAGGCAATAAGGAGTTGCTCAGTTTTTTTTTGTGGGGGAGTAGTGGGAGGGAGCAGAACAGTAATTCAGCCAGCCCTGTGAATGTGCAAGATTATTTTGACAGTTAAGGGAAACCCAAGAGGTATGAAGTCTAGGAGGCTATTCCAGTAGTTAGAGGGATCAAAGTACAGTCTCAGACTGAAAAGCATCAATGGGCTATGTGCCCAGAACTCTTCTCCATAACTTTTTCTGCTATTTATCCTCAGGCAAGGAGATCAGAGAATTTGACTAGGACAGACATAACAAGAGATGGGTTTTCTTAGTGAAGACCAAGGCACCACTGTTTAAGAGAGGGTTCCATCATACCTTTAGATAAATGAAGGGATTGAACTAGATAATCTCTAATGTTCAGGAGTAAATCTGTGGCCCTGCGCTGGCACCATGCCACCAGTAATGGACCAGACTCATTTGTTATAGCTCTATCTCATGGATCCCCAGAAACTTTTATACAACCACTACATGGGTACCTAAACTGAGGGTGTATCTTGCTGGTGCAAAGTCACAGAAACAGACCATTTAATCTGAATGTTAGTAACTGATACTCAAATACTCAAATGAATCCAGAGTATCATCAATTTGGATGTTCCCTCCATTCATATAGATTCCAACCCATTCAACCCTACCCATCCCATGTGACTCTTGCCCATGCCCTCCAACCAGCCAAGCTCATCCATAGACATGGACTTAATAGTCCAGAGGCCCTCCTCATTTTCTCTTGACATTTCGAGGATAACAGTGGAATAGCTTCTTTTTCACTCAGACATCTTTTCATCTAGAGTTCCTTAAAGTTTCTTGTTGGTTATATATGGCTGGCTGCTCACCCCAATTGCCTCTCCATTGCCTTCTCTGTGCTACTTATTTTTAGTTAGGGTTTTTTTCCTCTCAAAGACTTGCAGCCACAGCACAGGAACAGAATATTGGTATTAAAAAGTTGGGCCCTTAATTCTTGGGGAGGATGTGAAATCGGAAGACCTTTGCAACTTCCCCATTCTTCTTCTCCTGTTCAATTTCTGAACCTAATTTGCTATGAGCAACAATCTATAAAAAAGCTAGAAACTTTCCCACAATGAGACTTCCTAATAATGTTTCAACCAGACTTTCTTGGCTGTAGCTACTTTGACAATCCCTAACTATGAAGAACACGCTTCTCCTCCAACCCCCACCAACGCATACACCCACCTCCTAAAGTTATAATCTCCTCACTGTTGCCAAGTGCTACTGGAGAAAATTGCAAAGCTATGATGAGCTGGTGTGCAATACGATTTCATGCCCTATGCCAAGTGGGCAGCATGGTGTGGTGGACAGTGATGGGCCTCAATGCCATATAGACAAGTTCAAGTGCCGCCTCCCATACACACCAATTGTGCAACCCTAGACCTCTCAGTGGTCTAAGATGCTCTTTAAAAATATAGAGAATTGCTGACCTGGATTAGTAGAAGTAGTTTCCTCATTGGGGAGTTCCCTATGTCAATAGAATCATAGATCCTTCCTCTATAACTGAGTTGAGTTCCCACTGCTGCTCACTGGACCTGTTTTATCTTCTCTTGATTTCCTATCAAATCGACAGCAGGGGATTAAAGAGCCTTCTTTCAGCCTACCATCCCTTTGAAGTATCATATAATTTCTTGCCTTATCATTACCAAATTGAATGAAAGAGGAATTTACACTCACTGCCACCACTTCCTCATTACCCACTCTTTCTTCAGCCATTTGCAGTCTGGCTTCCTGTCCCACCATTCCACTGAAACTGTTCCCTTTAACAGCAGCAATGACTTCCTAAATATCAAAGACAATGCCTTTCTTCTCCTCAGTCCTCTCCTTCTTGATCTCCTATTCTACTGGAGATGTGTAAGTGCTTAAGAGATGTATAAAAGATATATAAAGGAATCAACATCATCCCATGTGACACTCCATCTCCAGTCTCTGTGTTTTTGTATTAGCTATCCTCCATGCCTTATTACCGCTGCCTCATAGAGTCTCTTTCTTCCTTAAAGACACAGCTCTCAACTGCTAGTGTCCTCCCTCCCGAACTACCATGTATTTAACCCATATATGCTTGTGTTTAATAACTTGATATTTATGTTGTGTGTATTTTTATATGTTCTTGTCTCCTCCATTAGAATGTAAGCTGCTTGTAAGTAGGGATTGCTTCATTATTTGTGCTTCTATGCCCAGCACTTGGCACAGTACTTGGCATGTAGTAGGAACTTAACAAACACTTGATAACTGCTTGATCAGACTACTATCTATAATTAGAGGCTTCTTTATATTGGATGTGCTGAAAGTACTGGGTGAGTGGAGAAAGACTGGAGAAGAGAGGACTTGGGAAGACCATTGGCAAGTATTTGAAGGGTTGTCTTGTGGAAGAAGGAATAGAGTTTTTCCTACTTGGTCCCAGAGGACAGAATTAGGAACAACGGGTGGAAATTTCAGAGAAGCAGATTTGGGCTTGATATAAGAAGACTTCCTAATAATTAGAGCTATCCAAAAGTGGGATGGGTGATTCAGAAGGTGGCAGGTTTTCCTTCATTGAAGCTCTTTGAGCAAGAGCTAGATAATCACTTGTCAGGTATGTCGTAGAAGGAAATATTGTTCAGGTGTTAGTTGAACAAGTTCGTTTTGGGGGTCTCTTCCAACTCTGAGATTGGGTGATATGGGTTTGCTCATTATTTGGATGCACACTCCAGACATCTGATGCTTCTGCCCTGGTGGTGGGTAAATGGACTAAGTGCTGAGCTATCCTTAGCTAACATGCTATAGTAAATCAAATAGGTTTTTTGTTTGTTTGATTAATAGTCAACAGACAATAAATAAAAAGCACAATGGGACTTTATATTCTGTATACATTTCAGTCAACTATATGATAGTAAAGATGTAGTCTATTTTGGAATATTGCTTATAAGGGTCTAGCTATCCCTTTCTTATGCCCACATTGAGAATGATCTTTGTATGTGGATGTAGATTATTTTGATTAAAATTTTATGTAGTTAAGAAAGTAAGCATATAGATCAGTTGTCATTGATGTTCTCTTGCCTATATTTTTGGGGTAAGAAGTTCCAAGAATTTTTTCCCATGCCTTTGGCATCTTGTTCTCCTTTACATACTTAAAGAATTGTTTTACTTTCAGCATGGGCCTCCTCTGCGCCCCCTTTGCTGTTTTTCACACATGACATTTTTATCTTCTGTCTCTAGGGTTTTGCTCAGATTTTTGCCAATACCTAGAATGTACTCTTATCACTTCTACCCTTTAGAATATCTAATGTCCTTCAACGCTCAGTTCAAATGTCCTCTCCTAAATGAGCCTTTTCCTGATTCCTCAGATCATAGTTTCTACCTCCATTAATGCCATGTATGTATTTTGAACATACTTATTTATGCACTATCATACATAAATGTCTCTCCTGCTATGCTGTAATCTCCTTGAGGGTAACAAATCAGCAAACATCTATTAAACACTTATTATGTGCCAGGTGCTGTGTTAAGTGCTAGGGATACAAGGGCAGAGCCATTTCATTTGTATCTTTGAATCTTAGCCCAACGCCTAATAGTTGTAAATGCTTAATAAGTATTTATTGATTGACTAAGGAAATCTGATGTCATACACATTACTAAGAATAGTGAAGGTCTTCCGAATGGGCCAGTTTAAATATGACTCCTAGCAATTCAATTTAGTAAACACTCCTTAAGCACCTACCATTTGCAAAATATTGCCCTAGATGGTAAGGATGCAAAGAGAATCTGGGCCCTTCAGGACCCTACGTGTTACTGGGCCTGATGGTTGAAAGGTAATGAAGTAAGAATATTTAATTGTTCAGATAACCACTGTGAGGTTGAAACAGTCTCTAACAGGATATTAAAGTCATCTAAGCTTTATTTATAACTCCAGTCTGCAAAAGGAGATTGAAAACATAAATATCAACTTCATAGAAAAGCAGATTTCACATAATCAATTTTAATGAACAAATTAAAAATAAAAAATTGTATCTTTAATTAAATCCTACAGCTACATTTAAGTATTAAATGATGTGACAGCTTTAAATTGGGACACAGCTTATTTTTTTACCAAATATACCAAATATACAACATTTTTACTTATTGGTGTTATTATATGTTACTAATACATGGTTTAATCAGAGTAATATGATGAGAATAAGCTCCCATAAAGCAAAGAATGAATTTAAAAGTTTTGCTTTAATGTTAATTTAATTGAATTCTACCAAGACAACAGAGTTTCTGTGGAACGGTGAATAGATTTAGCTTCTTTCTTTCCTCATTGTGGCAGTCTTCACACCTTTCTTCTATTTATAAAGCAATTCTGTTAAGCAAAGCATTGTGGCAGTCCAGAGAGGGAAATATCATTAAGCAACAACAACAAAAATCAAAACTTGGAAAAAAAATGTCAGCAGAAACCCATTGTGTATTGTGCTAATTGCCTTCAATTAGTGCAACTCTAAAACCAAAACAAATTACGATCTGGACAAATGTTTCTTCCCTAGAAGCAGAACTGGGCTCAGGTTATATATGCACCATATTACTGTAGCTTACATACTGTATGCACATACATATATTTATGCTTGGACTCATTTCTTCCTTACCTTGGCTCTTGAAGAGCTGACATTTTCCATATTCTCAATGCTGCAGATACAGTTCTGTGAAACCTTTCGGCAGGCCACTCTGATATAGTCCCAGAAGCTACGAGGGCTTTCATAACCAAACCAGGTTACTTGACCTTCAGGAGACAAATTACAATATGGAGGAGGGGAGGAAAGGCAAAATAAAAACTAGATAGGAAAGTTCAGAATGCCATAATTCCTAAATTCCATAAGCTGAAGAGAAATGAGCTGGAAGAGCAGTTGGACTGAGAATCAGGAGACCTGGTTTTACCAATGACCTTCAGGCGTGTCATTTAACTTTCCTGTGCCTCAGTTTCTTCATTTCAAATGAGGAATTGGATTAGATTATTTTCAATATCTACTTGAGCTCTAAAATTCTGATTCTAAATAGACTATTTAATTGATTATTTGCTGATACAGAGACATGGTATCACTATGGCTCTAGATATGCTCTAAACAGGCAAAACTTCTCAGCTTTAGTTTATCCAGATGTAAAATGAAGATTAAAAACCAGCCACCTTCCTGCTATAAATAATTCAGAACTAAAGTATTTTGTATACTGTTTTGAAATAAGGATCCTCTCGTTCCTTTACTTTCTTCTAATTAAGTACCTTTCCTACTCAGTTCTCTCAATCACCCTCTATCTATACTTTTCTCTCCTACCCAGAAACCTATGAATGTTCTCAACTACCTAAAAATTTTGGGATGCAATGGAAGGTTTTGAGAGGCCTATCTTAATTACAATAACCACTCATGTGTCTGTACTGGTTTAAGATCTATGAAGTGTTGTCTTCTCAATAATTCTATTAGGTGGGTAGAACAAAGATTAATCCCTTCAGATAAGATATCTGAGGCTCGAGGAAGCCCATGTTAACTTGGCAAATGTCACATAGCCAACAAGCATATGATCCAAGTCTACATGCCCATCACATTCATTTGTATGTAGTTCTTTGTGAATTGATTGATTACTCATCTGCTTCTATGGATGAGATGGGGCAAGGTGATGTGGAAACTACCACTGTTAGTATGAATATGTATTGTTATTTGTTATTTGTTTCAAATTGTGGTGTTACAGCCACCTGAGTCCCTGCTCCTTTCATTTCTATGGTTCTATGTGGGGCAGTTAGAAGTCCTGGGATGGGAAGCATACCGTTTGCTTTCATTTTTACAAGTTTTAGACTTCTTCAGCTTATATTTTTAGTTTTTCCTCTCAGCCTTTACCTTACTCCCCCCAAATGCAGACTGCTGTCCAGGAGCCTCCAAGCATTAACTGTCAGCAATCAATGATTTGGAAACCATCTTAGCAATAGCAACAGGCCAATTTAGTTACTGTTCATGGACAAATAAAAAATTCTTATGCTGCAGATGGGGAAATCTGCATAAACTGTATAGGGTCAACTTAAATTCTGAAGAAAGATAAAAAACAAAGGTTTTCATATATATGGAAACTAGAACCTTTATCAAAGTACTTGATTCTATAGTAATTGGTATTAAGATGTTTTAATTAACCAATATACTTTGTTTTTGCAGCAGCCAAAAGAAATTTAAAAAAACATGCAAGTATCTACAAATATCTTGTTTGACTTTATGTTTCAGTCCCTACAAGTCAATTATATTTTTCTCTTCCTCTGAGAGAAAAAAGTTACTGTTATAGAATTACTTCAGAAGGCTTTGTCCATTAAGCTATTTTCTGTATTAATTTGTTGTAGTCATATAGAAATTATAGTTTAATCACTCATATTATTTGGTATTAATTTATAAATATAGATTTTTCATTTTTTATATAGGCACATAAACAAGACATACACTTTCTGTTTCTAATAGATGGAGGGAGATATGGAACAAGTTTTGTCCCATTATTACTGTGGAAGTACAGGAAAATTTTCAGAAATACTATTTAAGCCTTTCCTCCTACACACTGACCAGTCAATCATATCTGATCTCAGTTCCAGCTATTTTTCCTGGTCTCATCCTGTCCTATCACCCCTTATAACTTCCTAGCTTCTTATGCAAAGCATAGCTATTAAAAACAATTCCTTCCTTCAAGAGGCAGCACCTTTGGGCTGGGGGAAGAATTCTGAGGAAGGACCATGCAGAGCATTCCTCAACCCCCAAGAAGAAACCAACTGAAGAGAGGGGAAGATATGGCCGGGGAAGCAGGACCAAGTGGACAAAGAAAAAGGAAACCATAGGGAGTACAGACATACGAGGCCCATATCTATGATACAGATCAATGTCCTGGAAGGCTTGAGACATGGTCAGGGAGAAATCAGAGGACTAGTTCTGCTATATACCAAATGAACAAACAATTCATTTGTAACAGACCACAGAAACCCAATAGAAGCTATAAGGGAATATCTGACTTCTTACAAGCTGTTTAATGATTATTTTATAAGGCATTTCTTGCAGCCATTCTGTAAACTATCATTTCCAATCTAGGGAATGAAACAACAGTGAGACTAAAATGACCAGATCTATCTGAGTCAAAGAGTAAACCCATAAGAGAGCCAAGAATGGAGCCTGAGCTGCTCCCCTATCTCAACAGCTTTATACACTTTGATCCTAAAAATGGCGTATATTCCTTCCAAATAATGAACTGGAAAATCAGACACACTAATGGTTTGAGAGGACAACAGCAATACAGCTTCTAAGGTCCTGGAATAAAACAAAGTACCTTTAAAATATTATCATCCACTTATCAAACTGTATCTAAATCTTAGAATTATAGCTAAAAATAATATCCTTTCAACATCTAATACAAGAGCTATATTTTAGAAAAAAATTAAAACTATTAAATAAGAGTTTGTATTTGATTACTTAGAACATTAATAATTCAGACACCTCTTTTGTGTATAATATATTGACTATCAAACAAAAAACATGTTTGGCTTTTAATTTATAATCTTCACTAAGCAGGAAGGTTAAATGTAAAGTCAGAGAAATGAATGTCTAATCCTCCCTTCAAAAACATTTATTAACTAATCAATCAACCCATTAATTAGAGAAAGATAATTGCTAAAATATTGTTTTTCCATGGGAAAAAGAATCCATCAAAATAAAATCAATGTGTCATAGAACTACAACTTCCAAGTCTGGAGAAATTCTAATTACCTCTGACGGGAGATGTTGCTGAAACGTTTTAGATATTGTCAACAACAGGCTTCAAGGATCTTTCTTCCAAGGAGCTTCCCTTTGATAAGCAATGACTAGGCAGATAGAGGGTCTACTTTTTCAACTCATGCACTCTCTTCAGCTTTTGTGTTTCATTTTGTTTTAGGAAAAAAGATAGTGTCCCAAACCTTTATGAGGAAGTAAAAATGATTGGCTTTTTTTTTCTACCACCCCAACTCTAGGCCACTTTAGAGAATAAATTCACTGAACATGTAAATTTCCATAATTCCTGTCAATCAT